AACTATCATAGGTGAATAACAAAGGGTAATACATTCTTTCAGTAGAAATTAACAAATTGACCAAAGGGTACAGAATTTCAAAATCTGGCAAAACACCCTTGCTTAATACAACTTTATATACTCTATTTGCTTCCTAGATGCCCAGGAACAGAGAAGATTTTCAAGGAAATAATCCATTTTCACTATAGATTCAATAAAGCCCCACCCTCATACCAAAGCCCCTGACCTAGAGGCCAAGATATTAACAATTTTGGAAGTTGGAAGAGGCACTCTTGCTCATCATAACCATGCACTTAGTATAGTCCCTTAATAGCAATGGGCAGAGAAGATTTTCAAAGAAATATTGAAGTTCTACTTTATTCAAAAGAGCCTCACCATAACACCATAATCCTTGACTCCGGAGTATGAATTTTAAACTTTTTGAAAAGGTTCTCTTGCTCATCATAACCAAGCAATTAGTTTTTCTGTTAAATACCCAGGGAAGAGAAGACGATTTAAAAAAGGCATTTCCACTATATATTAAATACCCCCCCCCCCCTCGACATGAACACCTGACCCTGGGGCCACAAATTTCACAATTTTGGAAGAGGCATCCTTGATCATCATAACCATGGACTTAGTTTATCTGCTAAATAACCGGGAGCAGAGACGATTTTCAAAGAATTAATGCAATTTAACTATTATAATCAATAGAGCCCGACCCCTACACCAGAACCCCTGACCCAGGGGCCAAGATATTCACAATTTTGGAGGAGGCGTCCTTGCTTATCATAACTATATACTAGTATTTGGTATATCTGCTAAATACCTAGGAGCAGAGAAGAAGATTTTCAAAGAAATAATGCACTTTCACTATATCATCAATAGAGCCCCCTTCTCCCGGAGAACCCCTCACCCTGGGGCCACAAATTTCATAATTTTGTAAGAGGCATCCTTGATCATCATAACTATGCATTTAGTTAAACTGCTAAATACCCAGGAGCAGAGAAGATTTTCAAAGAATTAATTCAATTTCACTATTATAATCAATAGAGCCCCGCCCTAACACCAGAACCCCTGACCCAGGGGTCAAGGAATTCACAATTTTGGAAGAGACTCTCTTTCTCATCATAACTATGTGCTTAGTTCATCGGCTTAATACCCAAGAGCAGAGGAGAAGATTTTTAAGAAATAATTCATTTTCACTATATATTCAACAGAGTCCCACACTAGCACCAGAACCCTTGACCCTGGGGCCATGAATTTCACAATTTGGGTAGCGGGCTCAATGCTTATTACATTCATGCCAACAGTTTAACTGCTTAATATCCAGGAGTAAAGTAGAAGATTTTTTAAAGATTGCATTAATTTTGATGGTTTTAGCTCTACCCCTCAGCCCCCCTTGTGGAGGGGTGCAGGGGCCATGAGTTTCACAATTTTACTCCCCTTTACCCATAAATGCTATATGCCAAAATTTTTGGTTCAGCCCTTTCAGAGAAGAAGCTGAAAATGCACAACAATGTTAACAAACGACGCACGTCGCACGACGGACGAAAAGAGATAGCAATGAGTGACTCAGGTGACCTAAAAATATGATTTGCACATTATGTAATCTTTGAATGCTCATTCACCTTTTTTTCCCCTGTGATGATATTATCTTCCCATTAATATGTAATAGTGTTATAATATCAAAATAATAATTATCTCAATTGAATTGATGTGTACAATATATTTACTTCTTTTTTTTTATATCGCCCTACAATATCTAAGAGCCGTTCTAATTATGCCATGCAGAATGAGAATTTTCGTCAACTATAACGTCGGGTATGTTTATTGGAAAATACAGAAACTTTGTGGATCAAAGTTTTAAAAAAAGGAGAGAGAGTAATGAGAACAGCAATGAACATAGTGCCAAATTCGTTCCAAGTGCGGTAACTCTTGTCTAATATTGCTTACTCTCATTGGATATACACTTATAGAACAGGTAGCAGTAATTAAAAGAGATTGGCGAAATTATTGTTGGATTCATTAATATGTTTACATGTATATTTTTCGAATGTTTTTTTTATTTGGTTACAATGCAGAAATCTTCAAATTCCATTAAATATACACAGAAGATCCGAATTCCTCTTGCACAGTTAACCATCTTCCTTGGAGCTGAAGTATTTTACGGTCTTCAAGATTTACGTGATTGGTAGAAAATGCATGATGTGAAAATTTCATTTATTTTATTAGCTGGATTGTTTTTCAACGCAAGGGAGATAATTTGATGGGATCTAATTTACGTATGATTTTCCAACACGGAAAAAAACACCGAATAATGAAACTACAATTTATTTTTTAAAGCTTTTAAAAGGCGTTTTTAAATTTTTATAATTAACATACCGTTAAATGTTAAGATCTCACTTGCAGATTTGTTCGTTCCTCTCGCAGACACGTGATCGAATGTATGAGCCGATGGTAGAGTGGTTAATATTTTTTGGCACGCAAAAGGTTTTAAAAAAAAGAAAAAAGGTAAGTCCAATGTCTGCAAGAAGATGCTGCAGAAATACAAACTAAGAACGGCCTGATACGTTTATATAAGTTTACTATTTGAGTTTTTTGTTAAAGTGTACTGTTTGAGGTTTTCCCTGACGAGGCCCACAAAGCTCTTTTTTTCTTTCTTTCTTTTTTTTTCTTTTTTTTTTTTACAGCTATACTTGAATTCCACGACAGCTGGATTGATAGAATGTTGCTATCTATGTATATTACAGAATTTCAGTTTCAAATGAGGCATCAAAATGGCACATTAAACACCGCATGGTAAAACGGATTAGAATCATCAGACATTTTCTTTGATGATATAGAAATGATTTTTTTTATGACCGCACAATATTTTCATATTCACTTTTTACCGATGGAAACCACTCGATTTACATATGTAAATGGCCAATAAAGGTGCTTGAAATCCAATCAGCCTCGCTTTGGCAATGATATTCAGATTTGTGTTGAAATTATGCGGAAACCTTTCACGATTAACGAGGTAGTTTCTCTGAACTAAATTGCGTTGAATTGATTTATATCGTTTTTTGTTACGCATTTTTCCACAAATTCTTTCAATCCATTTAACTCAAATTATTCTGGGAGGTATTTTGTTCCGAGTTTTTGTATTATTTTTTTTTGTACACACTACAATAAAGCCAAGATAGATGGTTATCTTTTGTGTCAGAAACCTGCATTTATGAAATTCAATTTTTAATTATTTTCCAGAGAATATGCTTCATTACAAATTAAATTTCACGTTCATCAATGAAATCTTCCGAAAGAGAGTATAGATAATTCACTCCAAAAAATTATATTCTGAATTAAGAGATATTTCAATCTTGTAAGAGAAAACTACTGGTATTATAATTTTGCAAAAGGGACTGGAGATTTGCCTATCAGAATCCTTGATTCTTTTTAGAATGCAAAAAGATGCCCATGGTCCGCAAGGCAGTTCATTGCTCTTACTAACATTTTGATGAATTACCTTCAAAGCATAACACTGCTTATTGGGACCACTTACTTAAGACCAGGGCCATGTATAACGTAAATGATGTCCTGTTTATCATGAGGAAAAATAGTGCATGTAAATAGGTTTTTTGCACAGTCTTCTGGGTTTTTTTTTTATCAAAATACTAAATGTATACATGTAGTTATGATGAGCAAGGATGCCTCGTGCAAAATTGTAAATTCCATGGTCCCTGGGTCAGAGGTTCTGATGTTAGGGTGGGGCTCTATTGATTATATAGTGAAAATAAATTATTGAAAATCTTCCTCTGTTACTGAGTATTAAGTAAACAAACTAAATGCATATTTATGAAAAGCATGGGTGCCTCTTCCAAAATCGTGAATTCTCTGGCCCCTGGGTTCAGAGGTTCTGATGTTCGGGTGGGGCTCAATTGATTATATACTAAAAATGCATCAATTCTTTGAAAGTCTTCTTCTCTGCTCCTGTGTATCCAGCATATCAACCATGTGCATAGTTATGATGAACAAGAGTGCCTCTTTCAAATTGTGAAATGTGCGGTCCCAGGATCAGAGGTTCCTGTGGGGTGAGGGGGGGGGGGCTCTATTGATTATACAGTGAAAGTGCATTATTTCTTTGATAATCTGCTCTTGGATATTAAGTAAATAAACTAAGTATATAGTTATGATGAGCAAGGGTGCCTCTTCCGAAATTGTGAATGTCATGGCCCTTGTTCAGGGAGTGTTAGTCTCTATTGATTATGTATGAAAAAAAAAGCATAAAAAACAAAAAGAAAAACAAAAACAAACAAACAAACAAAAAACATTTTTTCTTTGAAAATCTTCAAATAAGTGCATAGCTATGATAAGCAAATGTGCCTCTTCCGGGCCTCTTTTTTTTATTTTATACTTCTGTGGATTCTTTACAGTGTTGTATTATACTCAGGTGACCGTTAAGGCCCTTGGGCCTCTTGTTTTCAGATTCACATACGGTATAACATTTCACCTACTATTTTGAACAATATATTTCATTTTACATATTTACAGTGTATGCCCCCCGTAATGGTAGATTCGGAGGTGGGCATATAGTTTATGATCTGTCCGTCTCATGCTCTGCATGTCTGTTCGGTCCGCAAAAACTTTAACCTTGCCAATATCTTTTGAACGGCTGGTGATAGGACTTTCATATTTCACTATGTGTTTCTTGTGACGAGACCTTTTTTGAATACCAGCATTTTTAAACTCATGATCTTGACCTTGGGGTTTGAATTACGTTTTTTAAAAACATAACTTATGAACGGTTGATGCTGGATATTTCCTAGTATTTCACATGTTTATTTCTTGTGACAAGACCTTTCTTTGTGTACTATTTTTTTTTATCTCTTGACCCTGACCTTTATTTTCCTAAAAGTAACATTTCAGTTTCTTTACTAAAAAAAAAACAAAACAAAAAAAAAAACAAATGTTTTATTTCTTCAATTTAAATAAAAATTAGACTAACTTTCTAAGCTATACATAAACAATACTTTGGAAGGTAAGATCAAGAATTAAGTAAACAATGTCTATGCATTTACTTTTTTTTGTTTTGGAAATTATCTTTAATTTTTTTTTTTTAGAGATAACAAAGGATGGCAATGTTTGATGCTGCGTGGTGATTTTCATCGATTACACATTTGGACGGAAGTTATGTCCCTTGATATTGTCATGGTTCATCAGAAAGACGCTGACATTTTATTATCTGTCACCTGCATCAAACTCAGAGCTGCCGAGTGTTCACGAGACTTCATTCGTAATGCCACGAGACTTTCATCAATGGAACACCTTTCAGAACTTGAAACTGCAAAGGAAAGGATTTTTTAAGAGGCGGTACATCATTTTCAACACCATGCACACAATCCCAAGATTACAAATACGTCATTACATGCAATGAGATCATATGTAGAGCACAATTTTCCACCCATTGTCATGAAATGTACAATTACACTTATTTGCAATTGTATATTATAACTTCTTCCATTCCCATTTTCGACTCTTCTGAGTTGACTAAAACTGCTGACACGATATGTTCTGGCGACAAAACATATATCAAATTCATATTAGAACCTATCATGTTCAATTTGCAGTGGCCTCTACCACTTCCTACATTTTATTGATAGATCTAATCACATGAATGTGAGCAACACCTGTTGCAATGATAACCAAAGAAGCACCTAAAGCATTTTGAGAGGTCTCACTTGGCGCCATTTTGTTACGAAGGTATAAAACTGGATTTTACTGGCACTGTTACATTATTTGATTTCCATTCACTTTAAGTTTGTTCCCACGTTTTATACTGAACCCCCCCCCCCCCCAAAAAAAAAACCCTTTAACTTACCGGAAGCAATATGAGCACTGTATGGGTGAAGTGTGGATTTGGTGACGTCACTGAACCCATGGGGATTGAAATGGTTGGAAGATGACGGATATGCGAGAGCAGACACCGATGACGTCACGGGTGAACACCAGTTACTTGACAGTGAATCGTTTGGATTTGGTAAGCCGTGCATCTGTAAAATTAAACGGTACTTCATGCATTGCTGGCAGTTTTATATTGCAGTGATTATTCTAGCTGACCAATCAACTTCTACTTCTTATTCCTTAAAATGATAAGAAAAGATGATCAATACCTGTGAGGCGTGCGATAGGTAATTCTCCATTAGTCCGGCGTAAGCACTATCATTGGTTTTCATGGAGGTGATGTTTTGGAGGTGATGGGTCATGGAATTCCGATGCCAGATCGTGTCTTAAAAATATAATGGATACTACAAGCATTAGTTTTCCCTCAAACTTTTGATCCCTCCAAAAGGTAAAAAAAAAAAGCTGTTCCTTACTGTTTAAAAGATCAAAGCATTGTTTTCAGAATTGAGAATTTACCTGATACGGAGGGTAGTGTGTAACTTGGGGCAGCTTCGTGAAGAAGGTATGGTGAGGCACCCCCTTGTGGCATATGTAGAATGCTGTTCAAAGTGGAAATCTGGTTACTTCCCATTTGTTTCCGCCATCTTGCTCTTCTATTACTGAACCAGACTTGGACTCGGGCCTCTGTCAGTTTAGTCCTCTGTGCTAGCTCCTCTCGCGTATATATATCCGGGTAGTGAGTCCTTTCAAAAGCACGTTCTAATTCTTCTAATTGTTCCGCAGTGAACGTAGTGCGACTCCGCCTTTGCTTCCTTTTAACGGACAAACCTGGTTCAGAGTCGCAGTCAGATTCTGAAAAAAGTATATAAAAGATACAGTCTTTTGAACCATTAGAACAATATATATAACAGAATTTCTTTGGTTGCCTTGTATGCCTTAAATGTACTTTCAGTACAAATTGTGACCACTTACATAGCTTTTATTAACATCATGCAAAAAAATTGCTTCTACAGTACATGTAATTAATAAATCTGCATCACCAATTGTATAACTGATATATTTTTTGATCTTTATTGTTACGGTCAGATATGCAGTTGTGTCCACACGCTGAGAATTTAAGATTGATTCTTACGCTAATGTCAAACGATTTCGTTAACCAACAGTTAATCCACAAATGATCAGTTTTTATTATTTCTTTTGTGAATTCTTTACAGGTCTGTTTACTCTGGGCTGGGTTACTGGGGACAATCTGGAGGACAGCGCTGGATTAAAGCGATCGTGCGGAAGATGTTTGAAAATTCGCAGCAGGCATCGTCTCGGCCGATATAAAGAGAAATTCTTTCTCCATTGGTTGCTTATTTGATAGGGTGTTCAGACGGAAATTTCATGTATAATTGTACATTATTGCATCGAAAATTTCATTTTCTTTCTATTTTACTTTTTACAATGTGCTTGGTAAACAAAAATTAAATTATGGATATTTTAGGTTTGCGCGAATCGAGTTGAAAATTAGCAGGGGTCACGATGGGAAAGCATAGAGACCTTTTCTAATTTCCTCAAACGAAATAATGCACAAACAATCAGTATCATCGCATGCCTCAGATATATAAGACTGTAATATCCCTGATCCCACCAGGGCGCTTTAATCTTTTTTAGACTTTAATTCTTGTCTTCATATTTTTCAAATCTGGAAATGACTTTCTTTTTCCCATAAAAAGTCATCATTTGGAACCCTATCGGGAGAGATCATTGATGTGATACCCACCACGCCGTTAAGGTCGCGTTCGGGTTCCCTCGGGTCATATTAACAACTGTCATAAACCACTTAAGAAAATGATATCCTATGCTTTCCAGGTGTGTTCAATAACAGAAATTTGGAGATGAAAAATCATTAATCTTCAAAATTGAAATTGCAAGCTTTGTGCATTTTGTTAGGAAATTATTCACCCATATTAGTGAATTTTCCACATCAATGTTATAAACAGCGTGAAATTTTTATGTCTTTTTTCTGAAGTTTAGAAAATAAATGATGTATTTCTAATCTATCCGTTGCTTTAATAAACCATAAAGACATTTAGGGTCATAGATTGCAGATGAAAATGACCGAAGCATGATTTCAATTTTCTGCGTGTTTTGTTTAGGGCATTTTGATGGAAACTGGCATTAGCAATTACATGCAGAGGCAGATGTATCTTACAGCTTTGTGTTGGTCTTTAGAAACCTGTACTACGGTCCTTTACTAACTTAAAGTAAAATCAGAACACACTATATATTCGTGAGCTTATTTTGATGTAAAAAAAATTTTTAAAAAAAAATAGAAATAGAAAAAAGGACCAGTAAACGATATGGGTGTAAAACGTGGCAATATTTTACAAATATTGAGTTATATTTGAAAAACCTTTTTATTCATACTGGAAAACTTGTTATTCATATTTATAAATTTGTACATGTGTTATTCATATTTTGATTCTTATGATTTATAGTCGAAAATTGCTTTTCACGTTCGTAAACGTGATTTATATGTGAAATCTTGTGATTTATATTCAAGAATTTGATATTTATATTGGAAAACGTGATATTAATATGCAATATTTGATAATTTTGTAATCTATATTCGAAATTTATATACCAATAGTTGATATTCTAATCTAGAACTTAAATTGTTATCTATACGGAAAAAAATGTGATTCATATACGATAATCTTGTGATTTATATTGAATATTTATTTGATTTATATGCGAAAAGTTGATATTCATTTTTTTAGAACTTTTTTTTAATTTCACAAACTTATGATTCATATTTGAAAATATATATATATATATATATATATATATATATATATATATATATATATATATATATATATATATATATATATATATATATATATATATATATATTCGATAATATGTTGATTAATATTGCATTGCATATTGATAACAGGGTTATCGCAAATAAATAGCAAGATTATTGCATATGAATCAAAAGTTTATGAATGTAAATTTTGAGATTTCTCCTAAAAACATAAGATTACCGCATAATAATTACAAATTCTTGTGCATGAATAACAACCTTTTGACTGTATCAATTTTAGAATACCGATCACAAGTTTACGAATATGAATTGAATATAACTCACGAGGTTTAGAATATGAATCGGAAGTTTTCGAATATTTATAACAAGACCTTACATATAAATATTAATTAGTTTTATCGATAACAATATCAGATTTATTAATAATGCAACGCTTTACACGCCATAAAACGACACTATGTATGTTTGCATAATGTATGTACATGTATATTTATAATCTACATTGTATAATGTAACAAAACAGTCGTTACGTTAATTGTAATTAATTTTCCAGGAAATCTCTCGAAGGTGATTGGGCCAATATCTTTATCTGCTTTTCCCCAATTTTAAATATGATTTGTTTACAGTATAAATTGATAATTGATTGGCTTTAGTATTTATTTACATATATTTGAGAAAAAAATTGAATTATTTACATTTTTAATTGCCTTTTTAAAAGAAAATTTCAAATCGCAAAATATTTAATAAATCTTATAAATCTACTTTCTTTTAAGACACACACCGTTAAATTTTAATTGTGGTTCAAAGATCTTAAATCAACGGGACCAAGACATTTTCTTTTGATTTGATCAATGTTAATTTTGTTTGACCACACCAAACGACTGAATCATTTCCGGTCGCCTGCAAGTCTGCTATAGAGGAATCCTAAAAAGACATTCAATTTCTTGTTCACCGCACACGACTTTGTTTCAGTCTTGGTAAAATAAACATTGTTTGTTTTTCTTTTCTTTATTTGATGAGCATTCGCTATCAGTATGGAAAACCCCATTCTTAACTTGAACATTTGCAGTCTCGTATATACCCTAACAAAAAATACTATAGTTAACTATAGTTTACTATAGTAAATTTACAGTTTACTATAGTAACATTTTTTTTTACTATAGTAAATTAAAGTAATTTCACAATGTATTTCAGATTGTTATATTTTTGTTCTTCAATTCATTCCTGCAATTTTTTTTTTATATTAAATGGAACTGCTATTGTATTTCCACATTTTAATATACTGTTATCGACTCTAAGAGATTCAAACTTTGAAATCTCAAAAAAAGTTCCAGAGTAAAGATTCAGAGTTAATCAAAGTATCAAAGTTTTTTTACTATAGTTAACAATAGTTAATTTTCGTTAGTATATACCTGATTCACTGTATAACAATTTTATGATTTAAAAATTACATTTACATTCCAGTTTTGTGGTTCAATGTGTATTTTTTTACTGGACAATCAATTAGAGTATTAAACTTGATGTTTAAAAATATATCATTTTAAAAGATGAATTTCATACCAGGATTACAAAATAATTCTGAATTCTATTACAATCAATAAAGAAGGGCTTTAGACGTGAAATTTTCTGTAAATAAATTTTTATGCTAAATTTATCATTATTTTTGTTAATTTATATGTAATTGTGCTTTTTTGTCATTCTATGTGAAGATACAATATTAACGTGCATTATCCACATATAAATAGCGCGCTCAAGAAAATGATTTGTGTAAATTAGCTGCATCCCAGATGGTCAGTTTCCGCAAGGCTATTTCAGTATCGACAGCACGCGGCATGAAAGTGACGTCATGTTGTTTCAATTTCACACCCCGTGGTCCATTCAGAAATCGATTGGATCGACTTCATTGACTTCAAAGTTAATAAAGGTGGAAGTAATATTTCTACTCAGCACGGTCTTTTCAATAAACTTTGTATTTCTTTAAACCATACGTATTTAGGCTCGATGAAATTATCTTTTTAAGGTTGAAAACTATAGGAGGTGTGTCGGAAGACCTTTTCTTTCCTGCTGTGAAATACCCACGGGTTATGTGACGATACATGGGGTTACATAAGGGACCAACAAAAAATCAGATCGATTTGATCATCCAACTTAAGCTTCGTGGCCCCCTTTCATATATTTTAATGTATATTTGAGTGATGCAACAATCTCCGAGCTTCCAGAAATATAGCTGACACGTGTTTTTATCTCATCTTAATTGATTGCCTTAATTGATTGACACCGTCAATATTAATTTGGTATGCTAATAAGATGTACATAGCTCTGATAAATTCGGCGATTCGACGACCCGCTCAGCAAAGCAATATTTACCTAAAGGTGCTTATTCCAAATAAATAAAAAAAAACTAAGGACTTTTATTCTTTTTCTATGAGGGTATAATATCTTATGTTTTATATGTTGACTCGTTAGGGTTTATGGCTTAAATTTGGTTTGGAGACAACAGAATATTACAAGCATATTTATGCACATCCATTTGTTATCATATGACATTGTACTGTCATAGTCATTGCTGTTTTGGAGTATAAACCATTTTACAAGTTCAATGCATCTTGCCCCCCCCCCCCCAGCATTTTATAGTATTCCGAAAGTTTCAATCTCTCCACCATTTTAATGTTACCCTACTATCTATACTGTAAATTATCGCATTGATACAAATGCGAACCCGTGTTTGAATCCTTGTTTGTTTATGATTTTAATCATTAGTGTTCATTTTCTTGTACAATAGACCTATTTTACGTAAGTCCGCTCCGCAGTAAAATCTGACTTCACACCGTTACCAATCTCCGGCACTACGTAACACGATTTTATCAGGATATAATTAGAGGCATGAAATCGGTAATCTAAAGTCATCACAAGTAAAGAAAGTTTGTAGAGTAATAGATTTTTATCAGTGACCCAAGAGAGTGTTTGGATGACATTGTTCACTCGCCATGTGACTTGATTTAGCACGTCACGGGTGTCCGTGAAAACTCAACGAAAACATTGTGTAATTTCCTAATCTCTCACAACTTCTACAGGAATTTTTCCAATTTATTCTTAATTCTCGATGAGGAAATAATTCTGTTTAATTAATGATAAAGACGGGAACTTAATGCATTGTTTTATTTAAGGAGAAATGACGTTTGCAGTAAAACTGCGAATTAAAGTAGAAATTCTTTATTAAAGGACCAGCCTGTCTTATATCTTACAACTGGTTCAACTGAGCAGAACAAGCAAAAATAAATAAAATTTAATCCGTAACTCAAAGCACAGCTTTAAATAAGGAAATGTTTAAATTTTTTTCATACATGTTTAAGAAATACTACTGAATTCACACAGTTTTTCCCTTCGAAAAAAATCGTCAGAAATACCAAGAATAGAGTCAAACTTCCCAACAGTTGATGAATTGATCAAAAATTTCTAACAATTTTATTAAATAAATTTTGTAGCGAATATTTTAATTATGACTACTATTGTGTCGATAGCATCAAGAATCAATGATGCAACTAGATCAAATACTGAAACAGTTAAGGTTTATTCAACAGATAAGGCCTTTAAGTCACGTTGATATGACAGAAATTTCCAAAACTGTCCAAGAAAATAGCTCGGCAAATTATTCCAAATATCACAAAATGACGATTTTTTGTTTAAAATAGCGCATAGTGTGAAAAACACTAGATCATTTTGATGATTTTCTTTCTTCTTTTTTAATTATTCTATAAATCTAAAATATTTCAACTTTTACCAAATTTTAGTGATCTTTTCTTTACACATATTACAGCGATTTTAAAATTTAAATATTGGATTACGAACTTTTTTGTGTAATTTCTGAAATGAAAACGAGCAACTTTGTCAAAAATAAATGCAACAGTACTGTTGCATACTTTCATGTATATTAAAAAAAAAATCCACCAATCTTAATAATTTACGCAATTTTACACCGATGATTTTGTTTTATGATAAGCAATAAAATATTTACCATTATCCGATTTAACGCTTTTGTCGTCCGCCAGCAGATCGTCGATACTGTACTTGTTAGACATTTCGTTGTCGTTTCCGTTGTTGTCGTCGCTTGTCCTCGGTTCGTCGTCGTCAGATTCGCTGCTAACATTCTGGAACTTGCTTCTCAATACCCGACTTATAGAACTAACACTGGGGACGGATGATCTGTCGCAAATTCCATCCTTCAGTAACCGATCACGAATCTCCCAGCTAAATATTCCTGAATTTTCACGTTTGTACTGTTCAATTTTCTTTTCTACTTCCGGAGTAGCTACCCGGGGTTTACTTCCACCTATGACTCCAGGACGAATACTTCCGGTCTCCTGGTACCTTTGTAAAATTTTACTGACGCAACCGTGAGATACCCGTAATTGGCGACTTATGACGCAAGGTCGAACTCCCTGGGCTGCCAACTCGACGATCTTCAGACGAATATGATTTGGGAGGGGTCTACCGTTGATGAAAACTCCACCCAGCTGGTTTACTCTCCCCTGCCCTGAAAAATAATCAAAAAGCGAATTAGCTCATTTGTGTTTCCTTATTTCGTCTGCTCCTACAAATGATTTTATGGATGCGGGGATTATCGTAGCGTTACGGGGAAATTGGATGGTATTTGAACACAAAAATGCATTAACTACTTATAACGAAACTACATAAAAAATGTTCGTATAGTTTTTTGTCATTTATAAGTGATAGGAAGGTCGTGGGTTCATACCCCGGCCCCGCAGGAGCGTCGGCAAAGGGGCAGCAGGGGCGGCGGTCGCCGCCCCAATAATTTTGTCCCAAAAAAATTTAAATGAGAAATTCAGAACAACAAAATTTGTAATGGCAATATTGTGGTCAATGGAGCAGCAAGAATTTTCGACAATCAGAGGTCAATGGAGCGGCAAAGTGTCTTCGACCTAACAGCAACAAAAAGTGTATATGAAAGGGGGGGGGGGGACAAGCAGTGTCTAAGTGAATGAAGATTTATTTATCAAAACTTAAGCAAAAAAGACTTTTCTCAGAAAACAAGTGGAGAAAGAGAGGGAGGGGAAATTGGAGCCCCCCTTCCTGACACCTTCTCCTGCATATAACAGGCCTGTTCATTGTCTAACCAAACGGTCGATCAGTGTTAGGAAATCTTTGATGAGTCGAAGTTGTAAGCTATTAAATTAAAGCAAAATACTGACATACTGGGTAAAATTACCAATTAAACAACTTCATTTGATTTTCTATTAATGTCATACGTACACATGTATTTCTGCATGTCAAAAATGGAGGTATTATTATGAGGATTAATCCCCCTGTTCATTTTAAATTTCATAATTATGCATTCTTTCAGCAAGTAACAATAAATATTATACAATAATAGAAAATTATATGTATTTTAATCTTTACCTCGTCATAAACCCTTCAAAGTTCTTTCTATGCCGTTTCGAAAAAAAAAATTAAATAAACTATCTCCTAGCCATTTAAAAATGACTCAGTTTTGTTTTATTTATAGTATATGTAACTAAAAACACATAAAGCATTTTTTTGGTTGTTGTTGCATATTTATTTGTTCTTTTTAATCAGGATATACCTCTAAGCTACTGTCTTAAAGGAAAAAATATCAGGATTTTGACAGAAATTTAAATTATTTAGTTTAAGTCACAAAAAGTTAGTTAGGACCCCCCTTTTCGATCCAGTTCGTCTCCCCAATGTGAAATACTTGCCGACGCCCCTGCCCCGACATACTGAAGTCGACAAAAAATATATAGTTTAGCAACTGTTCCTTCGCCAAGCGCTCGGCATATTGAAGTGAAAGTTGCGGGTCTTTCGGATGAAACCTTAAAAACCCAGGCCCTAGCTGTGTCACGGTAGGCTTTGGCACGATAAAGCAGAGTAAAACCTAAAGGTCTAAATATGGTGCCCCTCACCGGTATATGGTGACGTCTCTGTATGAGTGAAAAATTCTCGAAAGCAACATACAATCATTCATTCAATCTTAGAAATATAATTGCATATATATACTTACCTGTAAACATATGTTTACAATCAAATATCTTTACAAATGGTTTTATTTGCAGCTTTATCACAAAAAATAAAGGCATTTCTTAACGAAAATAAATCAGCATATACAGAAACACGAGAAAAAGACTCCCATTCAAAATTTTTAACTTTCAAGGTTTGATTTTAAAAACTGATTTGGAAAAAAGTAATGCCAAAATTATGCAGAATCATTTTACGAGGCTGTGATAAAACATGCTGGTTTTCATTTTATTCGAATGGAAAATCGCTGAATAGTTAGGTTTGTAACAGATGGTTTTCCCTATAAATACAAATACGGAACTATAACTCAATTTTTGTGAGACGAGTAAATAAAAAAAAATCTGCATGAAATAGTTGGTTTGGTTGATGTAATGGCTCTATTCAAATGTAATGGATTAAAAAATGAAACAGATTTTCACTAAAACTCAGAAGCTGAGTAATGTCAATAACGTTTTGTTACGTCACGGATGTTAAACTTATATGAAAAAGATATATATTACATGTCATTAAAAAAAATTCCCCTTCACTCTAAACTTGGTTAATACTTACAACAAAGATAGTAAAAAAAAAAATTATCTTTAAATGTTGATAAAATGAAAAAAAAGGGTGACGATAACGAACATTGATCAAGCTAGAAATATCTATCGAAAACACCATGTATTGGTCGCTTTAACGATTTGTATCCTAATTTCAAAGAAAAAATAAAGTATTTATTTGTAAATTTTCATATGTACACGTATTATACTTTATTATAAAATGTGTAAATTAATGAATTTTTTCTTTAAGTGCTTAACAAGTGATAATTAAAAAAAACTATATTAACTATTTTTGTAAATAATATATTAAATTTCCCATTTCACAAACCTTTGATCAAAGCCTCCGTTTCCATTTTACTATAATCCATGGTATTGTTATAATAGTCATGTTGGTAATTTGGATAGTAACAGTGATTTTCCGCCCTCTGTGGGATTTGCATTTTCTGCATTGTTGTACTTGTTACATCAAGCAGTGGACGATGTGTAACAATTTAGTTAGAATGTGACCACCAATACACCCTACCCAAATTATATGCAAATTCCCCTCATGAATAATTTACCGAAAACAATCCCGGCCGGGGATTCGTTAGAACGAGGGGTTTCCCTCTTATGTGCTATCAAATTTCTTGTCGATGGGTCGTCTCTTCTTCATCACAACAAATCAAACATTTTAATGAAGTCCCAGCCATAAAGTATATCTTACAATTAAAAGGAATCCGCCAAGTGGTCAGCATCGGAGCAAAGGTGTCCGAAGAAACAGCATCGTACATCAAAGTAATTAAACACACGTCCGAGACCCCAATCCCCCTTGTCCCGGGCGCGATAGGCATCAACAGACGCTTACTGGTCGCCAAAATCGCTGGATCCAATCGTTTTATCCAAGGTTGGGAATCCGAGATTAATCGCTAATTAATGATTAACAAGTGAGGAACTTTATGGTGATTAAGAAAACATTGTATATGATTGTGGAAACATAACTGTTGCATTGACCACTGAAAAACGGTTAAATCCGGTTTCAAACAACTTGAAAACAAAGCAAAAACGGGAACAAATTTCAAAACTTTGAAGAAAGATCTAGCATTCATTAATTTAGGTATATACAACCTAACAATTTACTAATAGTTCTACAATTCAATTCAATCTCATCAATTATATGTGATAAACATAGAAACATTAATAGTAGAATGTTTTTTATTCATGAATTTGTTAGTTTTTTTTTGGGGGGGGGGGGAGAGTGGGGATTAAACCTCCACGTACATGATGTATGTCAAAAACAGTCTTCACTCTGTAAAATAATCCTGTCCTTAAGTTTGATAAAACCTCTGGCTGTATTACTTTAATGCCAAGTTACTTATCGCACATTACGATATTTTTTTTTCAAAATTATATTCAGGAATTTTGAGATTTTTTTTTATTCATGGCATCATAAAATTCAGTATACATCAATGTAGAAACACAGGTACACCTGTTATTCAACATATTTCTTTTCTCCAAAACGTGAAATAATTTATTCAAACCCGTGAGAAATGACTAATTAACGATTTCACGGAACATGTACTTGAATTTCATTTGGACGAGATCTGTATATCCTAAGGGAGGGACATTTTCTGTGATGTAATCGGGGTTTGCTACAGATACTGTCCGCTCTCTTTCAAGTCTGGCCGCGAACGACGCGTACCTGGTAAAGGTAATTTATACGAGAAATCGTAACCTGGATGCAAAAAGTTAAATTTACACGAGTTAACGGCATTTTCAAAAACTTTTTAAGTTAATTTAGTCTCTCAAGAAAAGTGAAAAAGAAGGTTATCTTCCAATAAGCTAATAAACAAATCTGCAGCATATCAAATGCGACATAATTAGAAATTATTGAATGTATCAGGAAAGGGAATCTTACATTATTCCGTTTCTGAGAAACAAAAATTAAAGAACTTTCAAAAAAAAATTATTCAGGAAAGGGAGTATAGTATGATATAGAATATAAATGAAGATCAGCGCGCTTTGCACTCCATGACCTAAAGTTGTTGGTCAATTTTGGCTGTAATGATCTACAACATTGATTAATTAAGAACTGGTTAGTTTGGATGAAACTAATCAAATTTGGACGGTCGATCCTGGAAAATTGAAAAGCTTCTTCATTCCTTCGAAGCACTGGTATTATGTTCAGACTTTAATAAGTTAAAGGAATTTTCTTCTGCTTTTTGAGATGATAAAACACATTACACATATTATTATATCATTTTATATTATCTATAGTTCTGAATTCACGATTTTATAACATGTAAACATTCATTTTTCATATTTTGGAGAAAAACGGAGTGTTTGGCAAAAATTTTAGAGAAAAAAAATCATTTAGAATCACTTTGTACTTTTTTCTTGTAAGGACACTGTAGCAAAAGTACACAGGACATGCACATCAAAACACAAGTTTAAATTCATCCTACCTAGTGAAATATTTCTGAAAAAAAAAAGATTTGTAAGGAAATATTGCAGCATTTATTTAATATATGGGTGCTCTAGTGTAAGCAACCAGCTGAGTGCAGCGAAATTGAATCTTTGAAGTTATTTTTTCTGTTTGAGTTTTTGCTCTTGATTTTATGTATTATAGCAAGCTGGTATACATCAACATATATGTATCTATCATTCCCCCCCCCCTCCCCCCCCCAAAAAAAAAAATAATAAAAATATTAAAAAAAAATAATAATAAGGCAAATTAGCTGCAGAACTGTAGCGTTATGGTTTTATATTTTAGTCTTTCACAATGGTCATAGTCTAAAATAATAATAATAATAGTACTAATAAAAAACATTACGCTACAGTTCTGCAGCTAAAATTTTAATGTGAAGGATCAAAACATCATATATTTGCTGTAGATTTCTTTTGTGTACTTACAGCAAATAAGTTTTTGCCTCGTGTCTATATGTTTTTGTTTAACGTTTAACTATTATTTATCATATTGTCAAATATATAGATTAATTTTATCTTCTTGATATGAAGAATCATTTTCTTAAATTAGCATATCTATGTACATGTAAATCGTTTACATTGACCATAGTTTTAACAAGAGCTAAAAGATCAACAACAGACAATGCGCCTCCAAAATACAATGACCTCTTGAAAATCTTACCAAAGAGATTTTTATTTAAAAATGTTTTTGCAATTGGTTATACCCTAAACTCCATATTTTATAATATCCTATTTTTCCGTTACTTCAGATAATTATAAGATACAGAACAAAATTAAAATATTTGCTTGGAAATATCAGCTTAATAAGGAGGACTGCAGTAATTAAAAAAAGAACATGTATACTCGTATTCAATCCTTTTGGGATATATTAAATAAATAAAATATATTCTAGTCAAACATTCTTTATAAATTACAAAAAATATACATACAAGATTATTTGACTAAAAAAAAAAACAGATTGTAGCGAAGAAAAAGAATCATTGTATATACCTTCCATTTGAAAGGATGGCATCAAACCAAGCGCCGCAAGATGGTAGGAAAACATGATTCAAAAGGACAAAACCAAAATATCCTTGTTATATTCCCTGTCCAAACGTTGCTCACGCCAAACTATTTTGTCATCTGATTGTATCAATTTATGGACCTAATATTCACGTTTGAAATACAGCTCATGGAAAAAAGTGCCATCAAATGTGCAAATGTTTTGGAAATGTTTATTTTTAAAAACAGAAAATATCTGTTGTGTCAATCAGAGAAAAAAGGCGGTGACATCTCAAATTGAAGACAAGTGATGCGTGTCGATATTGCTTCCGTATCAAATGGAAAAGACATCAACCCGAAGGTGTGAAAGCAACAAATAGAGGGCGGGGCTTTGAGATTAATTTAGCACACCTGAAGCAATATGGTCACGGGATATTGGCGATTTCTGAACTTCATCCCGGGAAAGCGAGGCGGGAAACCTTAGCGAAATCGGATTATCGTGGCATCATTGACAAACGATGGGCTCTCGATATTTTAGAGAACTATCAGTTTTTAACATTAAAAAAGAAACTTGATTCAATAGTGGTCTTTTCTTTCCTTGCTAGGTAATATCCGGGATAAAACTTACATCTTTTAAGGGAGTTCTGGATATCGAACAAGGCGGAAGGAAGAAGAATTTCAGTAAGATTTTCACATATCCACGCTTCTTGACGTGGAACCAAGTAATCCGCTTTCATTTGCTAAATTTGATTACAACTATTGAATAAAATATATGCAGATCTAATCTGGAGATTAACAGAAGAACCATGCTTTATACCTGGAAGGTAAATACCTGGAGAAAGAAGATACAAACAAGAAGGCACCTTAAATTATCATAAGCTATAGAATCTAAAGACAAAAATCTGAACTGAAAATAAATCAAATATAGATCTAAATTCTTATCCTCAGTTGTTTTTGACAGAGCATTTAAAAAAGTAATATAATTAAAAAGCATTAAAATGAGATTAAAAATATGGCTGTAATATAAAGGACAGAATGCGGAGTCGTGGAAACCAACAAACATTTTTTTTTTCACTTTAATACATTTTTGATTCATTTAATGAAATGCATTAAAAAACTAATGTTTTAAAGTTTAGCGAATTTTAAGTCCCTTAACATGTTTTCTTAATCTCTTTGACCTGCAATATTAAAGAAAAAATAATATACACATTTCTCAATGAGATCACAATAATGTCACAGTGACTACTTTTAAGATAAAGACCACATATATCTTACAGGTATACAAAGTACCATATGAAACAAAAGCACTTGGGTAGTGCATGAATGGTATGACAGTCCAAAGGAGGGGTCCTTAACTTTATACATCATGTTCTAACAGAAATATCACGTTGTAAAATTTGAATTTACTCCGCGGATGTCAATGAAAAATTTACAAATGTTAACAGTTATCATGTTGTAAATTTTTACATTTACCTCCACATAGTAAATTCAAAATTTACATCATGATAGGAAAAAAGATTAGTACATGCATTCAAATACAAAATTTTACCCATTAAAAAAATGAATATGTTATTCTTCTTACCTCTTTCTTTTTAAGGTTTATAATGAATTACAACTTTGCTATAAAACAAGTTTTGTAAGATTCACATTACCATCCTCTCTGAAAAAATCTTGTACTTTTAGTTTACTTCAAAATTCATTAACCATAAAATCAAATGATTGTAACTACTTGAAATATTTTTGCCTCTGATGAAATTTTATAAACAAAAAGTCTATCTATTTATCTATTTAAATATATAAGCAAATCTAACAAGGAAATGTCCGTTTATTACAAAATGTAGATACAAATAACAATTAGTGCTGTAATTAGTATGGGATATTCTAAAACCATTTCTTTGTTTTAGGCCAACTTTTTTTTCAAATATGAACTTTATTTTATACTTTTATATGGTTGTCTTTTAGAATGTGAATTTTGGAAATTCTAATTTTCTGTTAATTTCATTTT